ATCCATGGTGACTTTGTTTGTTACACTAGGTACTTTGTTATTATATACTTTATAGGTGTATCCATGGTGACTTGGTTTGTTAAACTAGGTACTTTCTTATTATATACTCTGTAGATGTATCCATGGTGACTTTGTTTGTTACACTAGGTACTTTGTTATTATATACTTTATAGGTGTATCCATGGTGACTTTGTTTGTTACACTAGGTACTTTCTTATTATACTCTGAAGATGTATCCATGGTGACTTGGTTTGTTAAACTAGGTACTTTGTTATTATATACTCTGTAGATGTATCCATGGTGACTTTGTTTGTTACACTAGGTACTTTGTTATCATATACTCTGTAGATGTATCCATGGTGACTTTGTTTGTTACACTAGGTACTTTCTTATTGTACACCATCCTACCAAAAATCATGGGACACACCTCTGATTGCACGAAAATGGATGTGATAATGAAATATGCAAATGGTTTGGCCTATAAGGGTGATCAGCGGTTCTCTCGGAAGTCATCTCGAACTTGTACGCTGAACGAAACCACACGGAAAAAGCTAACAAAGTTTCAAAGAGGAATGATAGTTGGATGTCATTTGGGGAAAATGTATGTACGTGCTATTGTGCAACAATTAAACATTCCCAGGTCGACAATTGGCACCGTGGTGAAGAAATGGAAGTCCACATGTGACAATGAGCCCAAGAAACGACCAGGTACGCGTAAAATACTGACTGACAGGAGCCGACACACCTTGAGAAGGATGGTTACCTCATCTCGCCGTCAGACTCTAGAGAATATGTGTTTGGAGATACGTACAGCCACAGGCAATCCTATAAGTATTTCCACGACACGTCGAGAGCTGCATGCCATGAATTTCCACGGAAGAGCTGCAGCCCACAAGCCGCTGATAACAAAAAAACAAATACACACTGTTGATTGGCATGGGGAAAGACACACCGAATCTGGACCGTGGCTCAATGGAAATCGGTCCTGTGGAGGGACGAGTCACGCTACACGTTCTTCCAGTCTGATGGACGTGTTTGGGTATGGAGGATGCCTGGAGAACACTTTTACCTGAGTATGTTGTCCCAACAGCGAAGTTTTGAGGTGACGGTATCATGGTCTGGGGTGCTTCTCGTGGTATGGACTAAGTCCACTGGTTTCAGTGCATGAATCCATGAATGCTGAGTCCTACATTGATGTTCTGAACAATTCTGTGTGTTCTACATTGTGACAATTTTATGGTACCGTCCCTTACACCTTCCAACATGATAACGCTCCATGTCACAAAGCAAGGATTGTGAACACCTGGTTTGAAGAGAATAACATCGGAACATTGCAGTGATCAGAACAGAGCCTTGATATCAACCCAATAGAACATCTTTGGGATGAACAGGAAAGCAGAATTAGGGTAAGGCAAAGACGGTCCTCTTCAGTAGTGAAGCTTACTAATGCTTTAAAGGAGGAGTGGATAACAATACCACCAGCTTTCTACAAGAAATTAGTAAACAGTCTTCCACGACGTATTGAAACAGTCATTAATACACTTTTTGTTACGTTGTATTAGCTAACACTAACTCGTGTTGTTAAGTTAGTTTGTTACACTACATTTACTAATCATGCACTTTTTGTTACGTTGTATTAGCTAACACTAACTCGTGTTGTTAAGTTAGTTTGTTACACTACATTTACTATTTTTTCACTTTTTTTG